TTTAATTCGTTAAGAAAATATATTTCCTTGTCTTTGTTTCTTTTACTTGTGAATATTCTAGAAGAAAAAAATGACGTACGGATCTTTGAAACAGGAAAACATAGGAGAATCAGCGTTGATTTTCCTTGTGTTCGAATGCAGAATCATTACTCAAATGACCCAATGTTGATTTTCGATAAATTTGATCTTTTGCAAGAACGTAAAACAGTTAACAAGAATCGAACTCATGCTACAAAAACGTGGTGAATGGTGGAATTAGAAAGTTACTCTCGAGCTGAGTTATTGAAAATAGATGAGGAAGCATCGTTTGAATTCCAACTGCCACATTCAAAAGTGCCCTTTTATAGTGGCCCAATGCCAGACTAAGCTTAAATTAGTGATACAGTTTTTGATGCCTACCATAAAGCAACTCAAAATTGTTTTCAATGATGAAATTCGAAGTATTCTTGAAAACTGAAATATTTTTTGGATACTAAATGATAGATGCGTCTTGAGTCAGCCTTCTTCCTCTTCATTCTTTCCTCCGCCTCCTCCTTTTCATTCTCCTCCTCCTCTTCGTTCTCGTCTTACTTTTCTTTCTCTAATTCCTTTCGCTCCTTCTCATCTCTTCCTTCCTGCTTTTCTTCCTTCTCCTCCTCTTCTACTTCTTCTTCCTGCTCGACCCTTTTTTTTCGCTTTCTCTTTTTTTTCCTCTTCCACCTCCGCCTCATCTTCTTTCTAATCTTCCTATTTCTCCTCTATATTCCTTTCTCTTTTCCATCCCCTTGTTATATTAAAATACAAAGACGTTTGAAACTTAAATGATTTTTTTTTGTTGTTTTTTTCACGTTGCAGAGAAATTAAATGTGAAAATGACAATGGAATTTTCGTTTGGTTTGGTTTGGTTTGGTTTTTCTTCTACGGCATATCAACACCTCTATGGGTTATTTAATCCCGACAAGATTTTTATCGCTGGTAATTTTTTCCTTCAAAAATGTATTGCTGGTAATATTTTTACAAAAATTTATTGCTGGTATTAAAATTTATTTTTACACTTTCATGGTGTTTTCACCTCAGTTTGGGGACAAAACACTATTTTTCCATAGCTGGGACCCTGACAGGTGCTACCACCCCGGGTCAGGGTAGACCTGAGAACAATAGAAATGAAGAGGTGGTTCCACGCTCCTCAAAACTTCCTGATCAGAGGCCTTGCTGTCGGATGTACCTTATCGTCACACCCAGGACGGGGTAGATTTGTTGAGTTTTCCTATGCATTTTTCTTGAGTACAATTAAGAGATTTTATGAACTTGTTTTGTGAAGAAAATGTCGAAATGATTGTTCATTCGTTCCGAGTGCTTTCGTCTAATCTATTCGCCATTTTCACAGATTATCTTATTATAAATATTCTAAAACTTGCTGAAAGGTAGGCATATTTTTAATTTCAGAATACGACCAGTACATTATGGCCCTGTTCATAGCTGATGTTGTTAAGGATTCTTTCTTATTATAAAGTTTTCATTTATTTTTAGATGCTTCTTGCAATTGGGATGTGTTCCTAGCTTAATAGTAAGTCTGATAGCTATGATAAAATCAAATTGGCAGCTGATCTCAAAAGCAACTCAAACAATCAAATGTTAACTGGGACAAGAAGTGACATGTTCATTTTAGCGACTCCAAAATGAAATTGCTCTCCATTAATCATCTTGGTTGATGTTAACCTCCACTAGAACAACTCACTGTACTTTATTGATCTCACGATTTCCACGGACATGGAATAATTATATGGAATCACTGAAATGGAATGGTTATATTAAATGAATTGCTAAGTCTGCTGCTAGGAAAAGTCTGTTCCCTACGCCGTGCTACAACATCTTTCTGGACAGAGTCCATTTTACACATTGATAAGTCTACCATTTGTCTGTGCATCGAATATTGCTGCCACATCTGGTTTTCTGCTTCTGTTTTATATCTAGAGATTATTGACAAAATTCTAAGAAAAACCGTAACGTTATCGGTACTGGCTTGTCATCTCGATTCCAGGCGCATTCCGACCCGATGTTACATAGTATCTCCCTCTGCCTATTTGATATTTTGGCTTCATGAATTTATGTGCAATACTAGGACTGGAAACTAGGTTTCACTCTTGAAATTGCTAAGTTTTATATTAATCATTTCTTCTTTCGCACTTCTCACTTGTGGAACTCCCTTCTGATTTCCTGCTTTCATTCAACTACGATCTTCAAAAATTGAAATGCATTGTCAATCGTCATCTTCTGTTACCTTTTAGCCTCTTCTTTTATTAACCTTTCTTTGTTCCTTTCACTCAAATTAATCCTTTGCATCTTATTGACTTCTATGGCCTTGCGTTCTTATCAAATTTGTTGCGTATTGAAGTTGCTACATTCTCATACTATTTTAAATGGTTTTGTATGAAGCTTGAGTCTGAGAGAAGTAAGGTTAACCTACTTGATAAGCGAGTGGTGATATGTCCAAGATAATTTTTTTTTTCGTCAGTAACTATGGGCGGGGGCAGCATTTGAATTCATAAATAATATTAGTATAATATAGTTTTGATTTCGCCGGCGAGACATTGTTGTTGATGAGGAGTTTGGTTGCTTTTAATTTTTTATAATATATAATAACTTAATATTTTTAGCTTGTTCAACTAGAACGATATATATATATATATATATATATATATATATATATATATATATATATATATATATATACGTTTGAGGGTCAAGCAGTTCAGTTCCTAGGAACCGATAGCCAGACACCAGCGCATGTGATTTGATTCTAGTGTTGAAGGTCTTGTACAAAACCATCCACACAAAACAGAGAGCCTGGTTCACTACGTGCTACAAGGTTCCCTAAACGACCCTTGGCAGGTTTTGATTTCAGAGTTTTCCTTCTCCAAAATCAGTTCAATTATCCAAGCGTATTAGCAAGTGAATATAATGGATCCGACTGGAATTCGAACTCCTCTCTCTCTCTCTCTCTCTCTCTCTCTCTCTCTCTCTCTCTCTCTCTCTGTGTGTATATATATATATATATATATATGTAGTCTTGAACATAAATAATTAGAACGTTCGCATTTTGTCTACGAGACCCTGGTCCGAATCTCACCATGGTCAATATGCCAGGAAGCAGACATCCTGATGTTATCGTACTGAGGTGGTGGTGAGGGGGGGGTGATCCCAGCGTGCAGCACCTTTGGAACGACGAGACCTCGGGGGCCGTCGATAGCTTTGCCAGCACAAAGTCACAAGTCATCGTGGCCGAGGGATTGAGCGTACTGGTCTTGTTCAAATTGTTGATCACGCAAGATAATACGCTCTTTCTCAGAAACAGTTTTTGTTTTTTTCAAGGTTTTTTTTTTTATTCCATACAGCTTCAGTCCTAGTTTAGTAATAAGAAATAAATTGAATTAGCCCGGTTGTGTATTTATCTGAAAAGATTCGTAGATCAGTGCACTTTCAATGTATCTTCGTCTCAGTAAATTATATTGATTTTTATGTTAATTACAACGGCGTTTTTTTTTTTCATTATAAACTGTTATCCCAAAATGTTAATCCCAAAATGTTAATCCCAAAATGCTAATCCCAAAATGTTAATCCGAATATATTAATCTCAAAATATTAATCCCAAAGGTTTCGGTGTCCACTTGAGTGTGTTCTCTAATTTTATGCTCCTTTTATGTTCATAAATTCTTTATTTTTACATTTCAGGATGTTTATCCGATGTATTTTGCAGGGAATTGTTTATGTTCTACTTGGTAGACTCTTGATTCTAATGTAAGATTGACTGTTTTCGAAGTGTTCGTAAATATTTCCTCCGCCCTTCGAGGTTATTTCAGAGCACAATGCCAGAAGAAAAACCCGGGAAAAACAACAATATAAAAAAGGAAAAGGAAATATAAGGGTCAGCACAAAAATCAGGCGCCATAATGTTTACCCAGAAACTCCGTAATTCATAGAATAAAAATAGTTCTAAAATCATCACATTGAGATCACGGGAAAAAATTAATTGCAATTGTTTAAAATCTATTTTTTATAACGATACATTTAATTAAAATAAAATAAAAAAACAGACGTTCAGTTGCTTAACGTGAATCACGTTTTGTCTCTGTAGAGTTTTTTTTGTTCTTGAGAATTAAAATCCTTTTATTGATGACGCCGGATCATCAGCGAAACATGGCAAGCTAATTCTTCCAGTGTATCTTATATATTTACCATGTATATATACGCATTTTTTTAGTTCTCAATATTGTTTTCTTTTTTGCTGTCTACCTTCGATCAGTACTGTATACAAAATTTGTGACAGAATTAGAAGCTTTCTAATTAATATGTTGCTAATAAATATATGAATATTTCTTGCTTCTAGAATGTTTTGTACATTGAACAAAAGAAACTTTAAATAACAGTTCAACAGTTCGAAGAAAACATGCACACCTTCATTCAATTACAGATATTAATATATTTGAGAAGATGACAAAACCAAGAATTATGTGTGTGTGTGTGTGTGTGTGTGTGTGTGTGTGTGTGTGTGTAATCGTTACAAGGATAAATGTACGTTTTCGCATTAAAATATTCAAACACATATATGTTTATTCATGTATGTACGTGTATCAGTGTTTGCGTTGAAAAGATCAAAATCCCATCGCAATGTTGACGAAATGAAATTAAGTCACGTTGCAAAAAAAAAAACGTCGTCACAATGCTAAAAGTAAATGTCAATTCCTACGAACATCTTACTTTCAAAAGTAGTAGAACTCTACTAATTATTTAAATACTAATAATAATTATCAAGAAAAATAATAATTAAATAATAATTTAGTTTATGTTCGCCTTCCTTCATTTTCATCTTTCAGCTTGTTTCTTTCCTCTTTTAAAAAGAATTTTCTCTCCGTGTGAATTGATCTTCTTTACTTTCATTCAGTTTTTCTTATTTTTCTTCTTCTGTTAAAAAAAAAAAATTCTCCTTTCTCTAGGGTTCGAATTTCGTCTTGATTTTTAACTCCCAGGCCAATAGACCTTTCTGACTGCTTTTACAATTGGGAAAGAAATGCCGCTGTCTTTTCCTTTCGGGTCTTCAAGGTTTAAGTTCCAAATGGCAACACCAGCCGATTTGTTTTTAAAGTACAAGGCCTATGAAGAAGAAAAACAACAAAATATCAAACATCAAATTTGGATTTGCGCGAAAAAATAAAAAAAAAAACAAAGGAAAAAGAGACGCCAAAATATACGAGAAAGGAAAAGAAATGAAATAGGCAGAGAAACAAAAGAATATTAATTTTAATTTTATCGACAAAAAAAAAAGAAAATTGAAGCGATCATAAGTTGCGTTATGTTAATTCCTGTCGCCAAACATTACTTTTCAAGTGAATTTTCAAACTTTCTATTTGGATTAAGAGTTGCATACACAGATACACACGGGCATACATGGGTGAGGCTGTAAGCGTTATCTTTGAACGGTAGAATGAAAGAGTTTGTTTTTTATTTCCTTTTCTTAGCGTAATTTGCCAATTTATACGATCAGAAAGTTTGAATTTATTTCAGATTATTGATAAATTCATGTCAATTGAAAACAGAAATGTAAAGCGTTGAAGTGATGAAGTTTCCATTCTTACTGAAGAAAAGCCTAAAGAAAATCCATGAGGAAATGATGCAATCATTGTCTGAAATTTTCTTGCCCTCTTTCAGCGTGGAGACATTGAAACCCAAGACACATTATAATCTGGGATGTCATCAACGCTATCAACACCTGAATACACACATATATATATATATATATATATATATATATATATATATATATATATATATATATATATATATATATTGGTAGAGACATTAAAAACATAAAGAAATCTAATAAATTATGGATTAAAGCCGACAAATCCAAAAATTTCTATAAAATTAAACCTTCTGAATATGACAAAATCGTCACTGACAAAATTACCAGCTCTTATAAAAAAGACAAAGACAATAGCACCTTATCATGTATCAATGAAGACATCTGCAAATTTGCTAACAAATGTGGAGTTGCTGACAGAATGGGCAAATTTAGTATGAAAGATGCATACATTCTCTTCAAAGATCATAAGCCGAACTTTATCAATAGCTTGCAGTCCCGTCTAATTAATCCCTCCAAATCTGAGTTGGGATTAATTTCCAAGAGTATCATAAAGGAAATAACATCTTGTGTCCTGGATAAATACCATGCCAACCTTTGGAAAGACTCGGCGGGGACGATTAAATGGTTCCGAAATATCCCTAACAAGAGTAGTGCCACTTTCATCCAATTTGACATCTTGGATTTTTACCCTTCTATTTCGGAGGAACTATTAATTAATAGCCTTAATTTCGCCAAAGGATATACCAAAATAACGGATAATGATCTGGACATTATTTTAGCGTCAAGAAGATCAATACTTACATACAATGACGCTACTTGGGTCAAAAAAGAATAATGGTAGTTTCGATGTACCTATGGGAGCCTTTGATTCTGCCCAAATTGCAGATCTGGTGGGCATATATATTCTTGACACCTTGAGTAGAGTAGTTAACCTTCACCAAGTCGGAATTTATAGAGATGACGGCTTAATCATTGTCCCAAATAGCAATGGTCCCTTGACTTCCAGCTTACATAAGAAGATAATTAGGGTCTTCAAATACTTAGGCCTTAAAATTGAAATATCTTCCAACCTGAAAATAGTCAACTTTTTGGATATTACACTCAATCTATCGGATAATACCTTTAAACCCTTCCATAAAGTTGATCAAACACCCCTATACATCAACGTCCACTCTAACCACCCTAAACATGCGATAGATCACATCCCCAAAACTGTGAATACGAGAATAAATAGGCTAGCCAAAAAAATCTTTAATGATAATAAATTTATATACAATCAGGCCCTCAAAAATAGTGGTTTTAGACAAGAATTAAGCTTTAATGGAGAACTTGTAAATCAGAATAATAACAAAACTAAGAACAGAAATAGGAAGGTAATATGGTTCAACCCACCATATTGCAGACACTCTAGCATTGATATAGGAAGTTTCTTTCTGAAATTAATTGATAAACATTTCCACAGTAAACATCCACTACGTAAAATTTTCAATAGGAAGACTCTAAAAATTAGTTACTCATGCGTTAGAAATATAGAGAAAATCATATCTTCCCATAATTGCAGAATACTTAGAAACTACCACAGTAATGGAACTCAATCTAGTAACCCTACCTGCAATTGTAGGAATAAAGACCATTGTCCAATCGGGGGTAAATGTAAGTATGAAAATGTAATATACGAGGCAACTATCTTCCCCGAGGAAAATATAAACGAGAACAAAAGATACATAGGTATATCTGCCGGTGATTGGAAGCAGCGTCTATACAACCATAGACGCTCATTTAGATATAGATGCCTCAGTAGACAGACTTCCTTATCCAAACACTACTGGGAACTGGTGGATAAGGGATTAAACCCAATTTTGAAATGGAGATACCTATCAAGAGCCAGATCACCTAATAACTTCCGCGATCGGTGTGATCTGGGCATGGCGGAAAAAATCTTCATTATCAAAGATAAGAATCGAGAGAAGCTGCTGAATCTTCGTAATGAGATATTCTCTAAATGTAGACATAAGAAACGATTCAAAACATGAACACCGTTTTGTAACATGTTGTCACTTATGTCAGTTCCATCTTAGTCCAGTAACATCGGGCATGACATTTTAATGGAATGACTATTATGTTTACTATGTTTATCTCTATATGTATTATTGTGTACGTTTATGTGATGCGCTATGTATTTTTATATATTTTTTTACACGCCCAAATGTTTGAAATGTTACTTATTTAGATTTTAAATTTTAATTTTATATATATATATATATATATATATATATATATATATATAAAGAAATATAGTCTTAAGATGTGCTATATTTATGGGATAAAGTGCTCAATATCAGAGATAGAGCGTGTGTAAATATAAAAGTGAACATAGAAGTCAACACTTAGAGGCGACAGTCTGTTTCATGCTATATGCAATCGTCAGGCCACATATGCTGTTATTTTTCTCGGCTATTTATATATATACGGGTTAGTGGTGCATTGTGGGTATTCTATTATGGCGGTTATTTTTTACCGGAAGTCGCTTTGTTTATTTATTTGGGTCAAATTATATTGCTCGTTTTTATTTTTTTGTTTCTTATTTTATATATTTATTTCTTAACGTAGTAAAAATTGTTTATATCACGTATTTAAGAGTTTTGTTTTGGTTTGAGAATTTAATTCAAGCTATTTGTTCAATTTTGGGGTTTGTTGTTGTAGTTCATTCTAACTATTATTTTTTTGGCGGGAACAGTTTTTAATTTGGGATTGGTTTGTCTATTTACTTGGATGAATTTAGGTCAATTTATTTGTATATTTTTCTTTTCGGTTTTTCGGTTTTTAAGCAATATAGTATTTATTTATTTATTTTATTTTATTTTATTTTTATTAGTGTATTTGTTTGTTTTTATTTTTTCCGTTTTTCATTTTTTAGGTTACGTAGTAAAAATTTAATTTCATGCCTGCATTTTGAGATGAGCTCGGATCTTTTATTTAATAATTTATTTTGGTCGGGGAAAGTAATGATAGCTATTTTTTCCTCCAAGCAAAGTTTGCAAGTTTTTGATTGGTTGTTGTAGGCTGATGACTTTTTCCTTATCTTCCAAGATATTTTTGGTGTGATGTGCGTTTTGTTTTTTATTTCCCAGATATACTTAGAAAGCATAGTACTGTTCGCATATTTACTATTTGTGAACGATGTTTTGTGTGTATAATTTCTTTGCTTCCAGGGTCCTTCAGTTACTCCTATGTATACTTTTTCTTCATTATCTGGTGATTTTATCGTAGCTTGGTATATTACGTTGTTTTGTAAACAATTTCCGTTTAAGGGACATTCGTTCTTTATTCTGCAGTTGCACGTGGGTTTAATTTGTTCGTGTGGTTTGTTGATAATTTTCCTATTGTGCTTTTTTATTATTTGTGCCATGCTCTCGGTGCAGCTGTAGCTGATTTTTACTGTGTTTTTGTTGAATATCTTGTGTAAAAATTCTCAAACCAAACTTGATTCTGGGAAGTGTTTGTGTAAATATATATATATATATATATGTATGTATATATATATTTAGTTTATGCAAACTTAGGTAATCCGTATGGGTAGACCTGAGGAGGATGATATCCAGAGAGCTCAATGTAAAATTCAGAGCAGATATGTTTGAATAAAAGACAGACCACGTTAAGATTCCATGTAATAAGCTATTTCACCATAACCCCTTTAACAGGGTTCTGGATCATCAGACTTTACTTCCAAAAGCTGAAATGAAAAATGAAAAGAAATTCACACGTTTTTTACGGACCTCATCAAGTATACGCAAAGTTAACGAAGTGAGGAAGTGAGGTGGGAGAGAGGATATGAGTGTGTCATATGTATCATTTTAGTTTCCTATTTTAACCCCAGTGTGTCGGCTAGATGTTGCTCAAATTTAACGCGTCTCGTCTCTAGATATAGATGGCTAAGGGGTGAATGATAAGAACGACATTAAAGAAAGTTACAACAACCCCAATAAATTACACGACAGGTTTCATTCAAATTCTTAGACGCTGTCAGTTCGCGTTACTTTAACGTGCATATTTGGGAGGTTAAGGTTAGATAAATATCTAAATGTTAAAACAATCTACGAAGAAATTAATTTGAAATTCGGTGGAGTTTTGGGTATTTTCTATGAAACAATCGATTGGAAAAATCCATAGACAGAACATTGAAAGAGCAATCCATTTTATATTTAGTACTTTTTTTTTTTTTCACTAAAACTTTTATCTTATAGCTTGTTAGGTTGACATCTATTCGTTTGATTTTTGTTCATTAAGTAAACTCGTGATTGTTTTTGATTTTTTGTTCATTAAGTAAACTCGTGATTGTTTTATGTACCCAATTATCAACGGTTATTCCCATTTAAATAATTTTATTCTCCACACTGGGGTAGTATCTTTCAATCTCAATTAAAATACCAATCTAAACTTTCCCTTCGTGCTATTTAAAATTCACTTCCAATTGGAGAATATTAGAGGAGATATTTGGAAGATATGTCACTAGCAGAAAATTAGGTCCTTCTTTTACAATTTTTTATTACACATGTCTTAAACCCTATTTGTAACCACATACCTATATCTTCTTATATGCCTATGAGTTCCTATATAAACCTACACACACATTCACACGAAACGACCATATGTATATTTCCATCTTTACACATATACACTTGCAGAGAAAACGCACATCCACATGTCTCCATACCTATCTCCATATATACTTATACTTACATATATACATATACACACAAGGACATCTGCATATCCATATATATTCATACGCACATATATATATTTACACACCTATATGTATACACATATACACACACACACATATATGCATACATACATACACACATACATATACATAGGCACATACATGCATATGCATACGCAATATGCAGCATATCTACATACCCACATATGCGTTAATTTGCACTTACATATATCTACCCACGTATTTGCCCCTATCCTCATGTCCACCCGTGCACCCACTTATGCCTGCGTTCGAAGACTATCTCAGTATTTAATTACATTATCTATATCTTTACACATACAATATTACCCGATCTTTCATATTTATGGCAAAACATATAAGTACCTATCTAATTGTACATCTCCACACTCACAAAAAAAAAAAACCTGGTATGCTTCTTCTTCCGTATAAAAACATATACATGTACATATCAACAGGTGTCTCAGTGTACAACTACATTATCATAGTTGTATATATATAGTCATGTGTTAGCGTTAACGTGTGCATAGTAATATTTCTAAAAACAAAGGGAATATAAAACATTCAAAATTGCTGTTCCTATATGATTATTTCTCAATGTACTTGCTTAGGTTTAGGTTGTTTTTGTGCCGGCATTTAAAAACTAGTTCATTGTGTCTATTTAGTAGTATGTCTGGATCTTTAGTATGTCTGGATCTTTATGTTTGATTATGAAGATTTTCTCCTTCAAACATAAGTTGCATCTGTCTCTGAAGTTTTGGGGAGTTCTGGCTCTTGATATTATTCTCCACTTTATTTGTGGTGTTAGGCCACTCTCCAACAAAAACCAATAATGATTTGATAGTGCTGTTTGGTTATTTTTACATTTATTTTTGAAGGATTGGCGATGGTTGTATAGTCGGTGTTTCCAATCTCCCGCTGATATTCCTATGTATATCTTTTTCTCTTCAACCTTTTCTTTGGGGAAAATTGTTGCTTCATATATTGTGTTCTCTGCCATGCATATTCCTTTAACTGGGCACTCTGATCCTGTCCTGCAGTTGCATGTTGATTTTTCCATTCGTGTTGTATCCTGATTTTGTCTTAGATTATCCTGAAGGTCTCTTAAAATTTCACTGTTGTGTGAGCTAATAATTCTTTCCATATTGTTCATGCAAGAATAGCTAATCTTTTAGATTCATTTTGTTGAATATTTTTTTTTTTAGATGCATTTTTGCTAAAGTGTTTTTCTATCAGTTTTATGAAGTATTTACCTATATTAATATTGGAGAGGTTACAAAAAGGTGGGTTGAACCATATAATTTTCCTTTTCCTATTTTTGGGTTTAGTGGATTTTTTATTTATTGACTTATCTATGTAATTTAGTGTTTGCTTAAAATTACTTTTTGACAGGGCTTTATTGTATTCCCATTTATTCTGGTTAAAAATGGTTTTACTGGAGGAAAGTTTATTTATTCTAGCATTTACTGTATTTGGGATTTGTTTAATTATTGATTTCGGGTGATTGGAGTGGATATTTATATATATGGGTGATTGGTTTTCCTTTTGGAAGGGTTTATAAGTATTATTGTTCAGATTAAATGTAACGTCTAGGAAGTTTACTATTTTTAAGTTGGAAGAAATCTCGATTCTAAATCCTAGAAATTTGAAGGCCCTAATTATTTTCTTTTGTAGTTGGGATGTTAACGGACCATTAGTATTAGGTACAGCAACTAACCCGTCATCTCTGTATAGTCCTATATTTTGAGGGTCAAGGAATCTACTTAGGATAACTAAAATGTATATACCTATTAGGTCTGCTATTTGAGCTGAATCAAAAGATCCCATTGGGACATCAAAATTGTCTCTATCTTTTTTAATCCAAGTAGTGTTGTTCAGTTTTAGTATGGACTGTCTAGAGTCCATTATGATTTTTATTTCTTCGTCAGTAATGTCAGTGTGGATTATATATATATATATATATATATATATATATATATATATATATATGTGTATGTATGTATGCGTGTGTGTGTATATGTGTATATATGTGTGTGTATGTGTGTATATGTAAGGGTGTGTGTATATATGTATGTATGGGTGTGTATATATATATATATGTGTGTGTGTGTGTGTGTATGTATATATATGTGTATGTATGTATGTGTATATATATTTATATATATGTGTATATATGTATATATGGGTGTGTGCATGTGTATGCGTGTATATGTATGTGAAAAGTGTGTGTATATGGATATAGATGAATATGTGTATGTGTGGATATGTGAATATATTTTTATATGTGTGTACATGGGTATATGTATGTGTGTATGTGGGTACACGCCTATGTGTATGTATATACATGCATATGTTATTGTGTGTATTCGCATGTGTTTTTGAACATAGAAATATAGGTCCTTGCTGGATTAGATAATCGTTATATTTATCTTCATATATTTATATTTGATTTGTAACCTGTAGTCGATATTAAATTTGTCAAATTTTCTCAATTACAAAGCGGCCCTTTAAGTAAACGCAATTTTACTTTCCTTCGTCCCATCTCTCTCCTCCACCTCGTCTTTCCCTCCCTCTTATTCTAACATTAGATTGTCTCTGGTGTGTGTATGTCACCACGAAATGTATCTTTATGCATTAGACATCCGTCAACATTCATTTTGTTTTCTCTTAATTAAACCCCTTCCACCCATCTCTCCTAAAATTCTCTCTGTTAAGGTTTAATCTCCCTCCTCCTCATACTTACACTCTCTCTAAATTCTTTTTTTATTTCCGGAGTTGGGTTTTTTCTGTTTTCTTTTTGAATTTGTAGGTCTGATGAATTGGATCGTATTTACAATTCCAATGGAATAAATTATGACCATGGAATATTAGTGTTTAAGCCTTTTTATTATATCCTTACTCTGTCCTGGACATTGAGTTCTACCTGGATTCTTCCTCTTGGAATTTTTGTCTAAATTATTTAATGAGACATTTCTTAATAAAATCATGCTGCCAAAATCTACGCTATATATATATATATATATATATATATATATATATATATATATATATATATATATATATATATATATATATTACACACACATATATAAGTCCACTATTCCTTTAGAAGATATATTAAAAAAGACTGACAAAGAACTTCAGCTAAAATAAAAATATCATCAACATAGCGGATATATATTTTAGGTTGAGTAACATGTCATTATGTTTTTTAGATTTCATTATTCAAATGTTGGATTTCATTTAACTGTTGTTATTACAGCTAAGAATGAAATCCAACATTTGAATAAATCATAATGATATGTCTCATGTTGAAAACAAGGTATTTTTAAAAAAATACTCAACATATATATGTAAGGTCATTACGAGTAAATGTTATATTAATGGTTTTCTACCAACGTTTGTGAGATATCATATTTACTCTCAGCAATCTTATATAAATCGATGAATTTCGATTTGTTTTCCAGCAGCACTTCCAAATATATTGAACTCACCTTTTCTGCGGCACTCTCTGTGTCTTCATATGTTAGCCAAAGTTTCCCTTGAAATAAATAAGGAACGCGGCATTTCTCATCGTAGACACGCGTTGCTCCATTTCGAAGGGCCCTGCCAACCTGAAATGGAGAACAAAGTAAAATCTGAATAATTTTTTAAGAACAAAATAAGAATGACCATGATGAAAATCATCGGGGAGGGGGGGTGACGTCATCAAAAAAATGAATTTCGTCGGTCAGTAGATAGGCAAAGGTTGTGATAGATTAATGGATATAAACAAAAATAGATACGTATAGAAATAAAGAGAGAGAGGGAGAGAAAAGAAAG